TTTATTCACTTTTTTGCCTTACTTTTCAAAGCTTGCTGGGAGATGATGACTCTTTAGGATTTACCAGCATCCATCTCTATTCTGTTCAGATGAGTCTTGTTGGGATTCTCTCTTGTCTTCTGCCTCCTAACGCTGGCAGCCTGGGATTTTCTGGGAGGCAGCCTCTTCCTTTGCCCATCGATTTTCTGCAACAGCTTGTGGGCTAATTGCCCTTATCAAAATCATGACCTGCCAAATGATGTCTGTCTTTAATCGCCTGCACCCTCGCCAGCAGCTAGTGACATTTAGTACAATTAATTAATGCAAAAACAACAGGGGATGGTATCTGCTCCGCTTGGCTAAGATGGCAGCTTGCATTATGTAATACAACCAGGCAAGGCAAGGAGAGTTGGCAGTTTATATGTCATTTTCAGAGAGGCTGTGCTGAAGCGTTGGAGATGCTCATTAAAAGCTCATTGATTTGAGAGAAGGTAATGTGGGAAGAGTTGCCATGGGACAACTGTTTTGGGTACTTTATCACATTATCTTGCAACATTTTACTCAAGCTTTTATCAGTATGATCTCCAATTTATCGTTTGCTCCTCCAACAAACAGCAAATGTCCACTCAGAGTTTATAGCAACCAGCAGGCCTACCAAGATTTGGATTTCTCCAAATGTCAAGGTAGTAGCAATGCTCACTTGGATTAAAGGTGTTTTTACCTGCTCTAATGTAAGCTGGAAACGTTAGCATGTCCTGCTAATTAGCTTTAAAGGAGGTTATTTTTAGCTAACAACATTATTTAGTGGGGTCACAGGTCACATTAGAACAACCGCCATTCAGGACCGACACATCCACTGTGTGAAGCCTTCTATATCAGAGTCGACTCAGTCCTGCTCTTTATTTGATTTGGGAAAGTTTGGCATAATGTTTGCCAAACTCATCGGGTTAGCTCTCATCCTCAAAGCCTTTTCTCTTGGAAAAAAAAAGTGTAACAATATGCTTGAATACACCAACAATTAAACAACGTGTGTTGCTTGTCCAACTGTCTTTTTCTACAGTAAGCATCCAAACAGGAGGCTTGGAATGAATAATATTTAAATGACATTATGTGATATCATCGTCATACTGCTCTAAAATACAGGGCTATCTTCCTTTATTTCTGTGTCATCTACATAGATCATCATCTTGTGAGGAGACTGACTTTTGCCTTGGCATTGCCTTGGTATTTGAGACCCTGTTACACGGTTCACATTTAAAGTCAGTAAGGTAGGAAACATTTAAAAATATGCTGTATACAACTCAATTATCTCACAGTTAATGTGAATTAGCTATCGCTAGCTACAGCTTCAACTAGAAATGAAAGGTGCCTGCCTGCGTTTTCTTCTGTGTGACTCTAGATCTATCTGCCTATGTTATTATTAATAATAAGTGCAAGATTTATACCCTGACAGGGGCAAGAAAGTAAGAGGAACCGAAGGTTCAATTGTCAGATCAGCTACAAGAAGTGGCCGATGTATTATTCAGAGAAAATATTCACAACAGATCTGAAAATATTTCTCTGACTCGAAACTGATCCGAGAAAAGAAATAAGAAATAAATCAGAGAAATAAATGAAACAACTGAACAGTGAAAGCAAGGAAACTAATTTTTAACAGTGATTCATATTAGTTACAGGAGTAAATAGATTCTCTGGGGAAATTAATATGACTGTTCCTCCTTAAAATTACAACCACAACACTGACACTTTATGCACTGTACAGATTTCTTCAGAATAGGAGGAAAAACTTTCACATTATCAAAACAGCAGCTGAAAACCCTGAAAAAATCCAATTCAATTATTGTAGACTGTTGCAAATGTTGAACCGGAGTAATTAGTGATTAATGCATCACTGCGTTTGTGTTTGTTTCACCATGTTCTGGCTGTGTTTGCTCCTGCTGCTCTCCATCTGCCATAAACAAACATGTTTTCCCCTCAGGTAGAGGTGGCCTCTCAGATTATTTGTGTTTGTGGTAGCTTCTGCTGCTCCTTTTACTCTATCTTTTAACAGTTTTGCCAGTTGCTAGTCTCATTGCTTCATCTGCCCCACTGTCTGCTTCTCCCTCTGCTGAGTGTTTTATTGTTCTTTTATTTGAATCCCAACATGCTTCCCTGCTATGAAGAGGCTCTTTACCTCCCACGGCCATCTTTATCAAATAACAATTTATGTTTTAATCTACTTGCCTATATGCTTGAAAGTTTTTAAATGTCTTTCAATGAAAACAAATGTGGAATTGACATCTGCCACATGTTTCTAGACAGGTGCAATAACCCAAACAAGTGCACTGTCAGGGCTTCTGTTCTGTAGCTCTAAGCCACATATTCAACACTGTTATAGTTTGACTGCCAAATTCTGCCCAGATGCTGTCAAAGTTTGATTGCCAACTGAAACATGTAATCATACGGCATGGTGCATCTTCTATTTCTCTGAGCTCTTGTGGTCTTGCACTGCTAACCAAGGAATAGACGATCCTATTCCACAGGGGAGGCAGACAAACCTGGTTTGAATGCTTCTATAACACGAAACTCAAATTTCTAAAATCACTGGTTGCAAAATAATTTCTTTTCATGGCTGAAAAGATGGTGAAATGAGGGCACAGTTTGAATTTTACATAAAGAAAAAAAGTCCCTTTAGTAAAAAGTTGAACTCCAGAGATGGATACATCTGTACAGCTGCAGGGCACAATTCTCCAAGATCAATATAGCAAACAAAAACAAACCACAAAACATCATTTTTTGTGTAAGTAGTTACCTTGAATCCCAAGAAGAGAGACAGAATATAAACAAAAAACAACACATAAACTGCAAAACCCTGCTTGTGGCCTCTAGAGTGGCCTGGACAATAAAGTGGTCCAGTATTGAGCGCGAGCACTGCAGTCAGCAGCAGCGAAACAGGGCTGCAAAGTAATCCTTATGGGCAATTGCGCACCATCAAGGAGATAGGTGAAATAGGATGAATTGTCTTAACATTATGGAAAGGGTTAGGGTTAAGGATCCCTAGAGACAGACCTTTTTTAAAGAGTAAGATCCTTTTTGTGTAACCAGAAACAGCCACTATATCGCTCTATTCAAAGCTACTAGACTCTGACAAAAAATTTAATTTTACCTCTCTGGTCTACTTCATCGATCAGTTAGTTTGTTTGTGTTATTAAACACCAAAGTCAAACTAACTGACTGAGACCAAATGAACACTTTCAGAGTTGATTTAAACACTTTTAAGGTATCTATATGGGTCCACACCAAAGGGTGCCAATTTAACTCTTTTTGGAGTGTTTTTGACTCTTTCATAGAGTTACAATTTAACACTTCCTAATTCTGACCAGTTTTGACCCAGGTCAAAACCACGGTCACTAGTTTCGCAGCAGTCAGTGGGGTACTCTCATGAAGACTCTCCTGGCTTCAGCCAACCGGTGTGTACAGGCCTAGTGGGGACAGGGTGAAATTAACACTTCAAGTGTAAAAGCCAGGATCAGAGTTAAGAGTAAGAAGTTAGATTTATACAATTACACTTACAGGTCAGATTTAGTGACTCTGTTTTGACACCAACTACTTATAAACTGAGAGTCAAATATAATGGATTTGGCTTTATCAGACTTTAATTAACTCTGCTGTTACTCAAATTTCAATAACACCAAAAATGTAACTCTTCTCAATTTGTTGTGCAGAAACATTCTCCCAAAAAATTAGTAATCATCGTCTGGAGGGCATAGCCACAAAAAATTATATGGAAATTTTTGCCAGCAGATGTTACAGTATCAAAGTGATTGACCACAGATTGACCAGCTGACCAGCATTGTCATCTTATGCCCCGTCACTACATTACAAAAACAAACAATAAAACAGAGCAGAGGCCTGTGCTGTGAAGCAGGATTTGACGTTAGTGAGGTAACTTCAGGATTTACGCTGGGTTTTCAGTCCTACAACTGTGGTTGACTTCTTACTGCTGTACATCGTCATGTTAACTTATGAACGCATAACCTGCTCCAAAGGTTATATTCGAGATAAGAGATCAGTGCTATAAAATCACCGCCAATCAAAATTCTTGCAAAATTCATATGTTGATATCCTACAACTGAGACTGATTGAAGCACTAAAGCCTTGTTCTTGTACTTATATATGAAAGTAAGCCTACTTACCACTTTGACTTACGTTTTTATATGTATCCTGTCGCAGCCGTTGGAACAAATGGTTATATTTTCCATTTTCTGTAAGCATGTTTTTTTCTAAATATTATGACCATATATATTAGTATTCAAATTAAGTTTAATATGAATTTGTTTGTTAAAACTTTGGGTTGCATTTGTTTATTACATTATATACTGATCAAAATTATAAATGCAACACTTTTCTTTTTGCCCTCATTCATCATGAGCTGAACTCAAAGTTCTAAGACTTTCTCTATGTACACAAAAGGCCTATTTCTCTCAAAAATATTGTTCACAAATCTGACATAATCTGTGAGCACTTCTCCTTTGCCAAGATAATCCATGCATCCAGCATGGGTATTGCACAGGTGTGCCTTAGGCTGGCCACAATAAAAGGCCACTCGAAGATGTGCAGTTTCACGGGATTGGGGGGGTCCGGAAACCATTCAGTATCTGGTGTGACCACCATTTGTCTCACGCAGTGCAACACATCTCGCATAGTGTTGATAAGGTTGTTGATTGTGGGCTGTGGCCTCTTCGATGGCTATGCAAAGTTGCAGTTGAGACCCCCGATGAGGACGACGAACATGCAGATGAGCTTCCCTGATGGTTTGTGCAGAAATTCTTTGGTTATGCAAACTATTTTTGTTGTAGCAAATGTATAGCGTCTTTCTAGTCTTTTCGACCACTCAAAGTGCTTTTACACTACATCTGTATTCACCATTCACACACATTCATTCACTGAGCCTAAGTGCTCAAACAGAAACTAACGTTCACACACATTCATACACTGGTGGAACAGCCACCAGAGGCAATTTGGGGTCTTTTTCTGTTCCCTCACTTCAGCAAGTGTCTCAGCTTGTCCTGCAGGTTTTTGGAGTGCTCCACATTCTTCTGGATGGCCTCCTGCTGGTATTGTAGATGATCCTCAGAGTGCAGGATGGCATCCTCCTGCATCACCATGTTTCTTGCTGCTTGAACCAGAAGGTCCTGACTGCGGGATCCCTTCAGCACCTGGCGAGTCAGTGCTATCACGTCCCAGGTGCAGGAGCCCACTTTATTGGACAGTAACCCTTTGACAGACTGGCCAAACCGCAGCTGGGACTCTGCGGCTATTTTCTCTTATTGATCTGTCAGCAGTTGTCTGGGTGGCTGGTGTCAGATTATCTTGGAGGTGAAGATGCTAGATGTGGACATCCTGGGCTAGTGTGGTTACATGAGGTCTGCGGTTATGGCATTGTGCTGTGTAATAAAACTGCACATTTTTGAGTGGCCTTTTATTGTGGCCAGCCTACGGCACACCTGTGCAATATGCTGTGTGATCAGCATCTTGATGTGCCACACCTGTGATGTGGATGGATTATCTTGGCAAAGGAGAAGTGTTCACTAACACATATTTTTGACAGATTTGTGAACAATATTTGAGAGAAATAGGCCTTTTGTGCACATAGAGAAAGTCTTAGATCTTTGAGTTCAGCTCATGATGAATGGGGGCAAAAACAAAAGTGTTTATAATTTTGTTCAGTGTAGAAACTGGTCATGTGGCGCTCTACCTTTTGCTGTTTAAGTGCAGTTAATGTGATGAGTTTTCAGTAAATGTAGGGAACTGAAGTCATGGTTGAGATACAGTCTTTCGAACACTATTTGAGCACTCTTTATGGCATGAATGGGTTTTGGGTGTGTTAAATAAATGAATCTGATTTTTTTGTAAGTGACGAGAAGTTTTTGAAAGTGTGTTGGAACTAACACTTTACAGCTTTAATGTGGAAACACTGACACACAGCCGAGGTGAAAGAATATGGCTACAATTGTCATAAAGGCCATAAGAATACATCTAAGCAACACATTAATTTAATGGAAACCACACATGTAATTGGAGTCGGATTTACTCTAACACTTACCCTAATAACTGGGCAGTGATATTATAAGCATGTAGACGTAGACATTCACATAGTCTGCAATTTTCTGCCTTCCTGCATGTGGCAGCTGCAGCTGTGTTGCAAAAAGCCTGAATTATGTGCTGAACTTCTTCGTATTCGTCTTATATTTTAGTTTGCTCTTCGTTTGTAAATTATGATACTGTGCTGGTAGTAGATAGTCCATGTTTGGGATTGGTCATATGCTGCAAACACCTCCCCTTTGACGTGATTGGGAAACCCTGGGTTGTCTTAACAAGTTGATGACCACCGTTGTGTGAACGCTTAGCCTGATTGCGGTTGTTAGGGTTGTGAAGTTAGATAATGAAAATGTTTCCTGGACATGTTGTACTTTAAAAAAAAATTTATTTAACCTTTATTTAACCAGCAGAGTCCCACTGAGATTAAGAACCTCTTTTGCGAGGGTGACCTGGCCTAGACAGGCAGCAGCATATAAAAAAAATACAAACACATAGGTACAGACAAATAACACAGAAGACTAGTAAGATAACATTTCATAAAGTCATTTTAAATCATTACAGTCATTTACATAATAAGGCATCTCTAAGTCTTTCATTTTGGATTTAAATGCATTTAGAGAGCGATTAATTTAGTGAGTTTCAAGTCCTTTTGCAACGTATTCCATGCTGAAGGTGCAGAATACAGAAATGTCTTCTTTCCCGTTTCTGTACGGGTATTTGGTACAGAGAGCATAAGAAGTCCTGAGAACGCAAAGAGTGTCGCCCATTACTTTTATGCATGATATGAACACATAGGTGGCTTGGCAGCAGACCAAGAATTGCCTTATATATGAAACTGTACCAATGACATAGCCTGGCTAGAGGAGGCCATCCAACCCAAGAGTATATTTCACAGTGGTGAGTCAGCGCTTTGCAATTTGTAATGAACCTCAAGGAAGCATGGTAAGCTGTGTCAATCATATGAAGTTTCTGTGCAGAGGTATGCATATATAAAAGATCACTATAGTCCAGAACAGATAAAAAAGTGGTGGTCCTTTAATTGATCACTCACAAGACCATAAAGAATTTTAGCTAGTACTGATAAATTAGATATTGGCCTGTAATTATTTAAAATAGCTGGGTCACCCCCTAATAATAAAGGGAGAACAAAAGCTGATTTCCATATCCTTGGAATTTTCCACTGTAAGGTTAAAAAGATATGTAAGAGGCACAACTACAAAATCGGCTGCCAGTTTCAAGAAATAAGGATCAACAAGGTCAGGTCCTGAGGTTCCCCTTCGAGGGAACTCGAACTGCGTCGGTTATGACACTATAGGAACGCCTCTAGGCGTAGCAGGTCTGAACGTGAATGAAATCACTCCAATCCTATTGGTTTGTTGCTAGAACGGTAAGGTGTGACGGAATAACCGGAGGAGTATAAAGCACACCTGTACACACTCATCATTAGCTTTTTTCTATTCAGCAGGCATGTTGTCAGGTATGTTGTTTGAAGAAAGCTCCAGTCCTACAAGCAGTGTGTCTTACCTGAAGAAGAAGTCTACCAGCATGTCCGGCAACCAGATGTACAGAAGGTGTGTTTTTCCTTGCCCTCGGTACATCACGGATGGAGATTCTCATGAAATGTGTGTCTCATGTTTGGGGATGGAGCACGCCCGGGCAGCTCTCGAGGGGGCTGCCTTCGCCCGTTGCGAAGGCTTTTCCATGCGGGTACTGTGGCACAGCATGGCTCTCTTTTCCGAGGATGGCCGGATGTGTTCTCCCCGAGGCGAGCTTGCACACCATGGCGGTGCTTCAAGCCTACCAAGCCGACCTGCTACAGGAGATGGTTCAGAGGGGGGGGTCCCTCTGAGGAAGATCTGGCGGAGCTTCGCAGAACCACGGAGCGTTAAGACGCAGGGCGAAGCGTTCCGCCAGTACCTCCCTCGCCGGTCTGGACCCAAGGCAGCTGAGGCTGCCAGACGTAGCTCCTACGAGCTCCTACCGAGAGGAGAGGAAGCAGAGTGTCACTTCTCGGGGGCCCCCCTGAGGAGCTGGGGCAGCGAGGGACAGGAAGTTCTTACTCTGCTGAGCCGTGGAACGTGTCTCCCCCCCAGACAGAGACGCCGGTTCTACAGCCGGTACTTCATAGTCCCCAAGAAGGACGGAGGGCTGCGCCCTATTTTGGATCTGCGGGTTCTAAATCGGTCTCTGAGGAGATTCAGGTTCAAGATGCTCACCATCCCCGCCATCGTGACGCACATCCAATCCGAGAATTGGTTCGTCACGATAGATCTAAAGAACGCCTATTTCCACGTCTCTATCCGTCCTTCTCACAGGAAGTTCCTGAGGTTCGCCTTCGGGGGTGTGGCTTACCAATATCGGGTTCTTCCATTCGGCCTGGCACTTTCCCCTCGCACATTCACCAAGTTCTTCACCCTTGCCCCGCCGTATGGCGACTGTGGGTCTGGCCCCTGAGGGGGCACAGTACCTAGAGGCGGGTCTAACAGCCGGAGCAGTCGAGACCCACCTCAGCTCCAGGGCCCCGTCCACACGCATCCTCCATGGTGCCCGGAGGATGAGACCTGCGACTCGGTCCAAGGACCCCTTCGAACCCCTGGAGTCAGCTGAGGCTAAGCACTTGACCCTCAAGATGGCCTTTCTCCTTGCTATCACCTCTCTGAGGAGGGTGGGGGATCTCCAAGCGCTTTCGGTTTCCCCGCAAAGCCTGGAGTTTGCCCTTGGGCTATTAGGGCTATCCTGCACCCTCGTCCAGGATACATCCCTAAAGTGCCTTCCTGTGCGTGAGGGGCCACTGTGCTGCAGGCATTTCATCCTCCACCACATGTGACGGCGGAGGACGGGAGACTTCATCTGCTCTGCTCTGCTCTGCCCTGCTCTGCCCTGCTCTGCCCTGTCAGAGCACTGAGTATTTACACTCTGAGGTCCTCCCGTTGGAGGAAGGCTGACCAGCTGCTAGTGTATTTTGGGTCCCCCAGGGCTGGGCTCCCTGCACCCAAACATACTATTAGCAACTGGATTGTTCAGACTATTTCCCTGGCCTATCAGGTGCGCGGTTTGCCTTCACCTGTGACTGTGAAGGCTCATTCTACCAGAGGCATGGCGGCCTCTCGAGCCCTACTTTCCGGGGCCTCTTTGCAGGATGTTTGTGTAGTGGCTGGCTGGGCCAGTCCGCACACATTCATTCGGTTTACAGTCTTGACCTTCCTTCGGCACCTGGCACTCGTGCGCTCTCCTCTTAGTCGTGACACTTTATTGCACACTGGGGCAGGCGGGGTTTTCGGCACGGTTTAGTGGGTATCTCGTTCCCGAGATGTCGTCTCGGGGAACCAGGGTTACATACGTAACCCGAGACACTGCGTTGGCCGCCACATCTCTCTCCCCGCCTGAAGCGCCTGCTTCATAGTTTAAGCTAATGATGAGTGTGTACAGGTGTGCTTTATACTCCTCTGGTTATTCCATCACACCTTACCGTTCTAGCAACAAACCAATAGGATTGGAGTGATTTCATTCACGTTCTGACCTGCTACGCCTAGAGGCGTTCCCATAGTGTCGTAACCGATGCAGTATCTCGTTCCCCTTCTCTGGGAACCAGGGTTACATACATAACCCGAGACGTTTTTCTGCAATCCAAGGATTTTAGGGCTTGATGAACTTCCTGCACTGAAAATGGTATGAAATTAAAAGACTGATCGATATATCCTGGCTTGTCAGTACAGGGAAACACAGACGCAGAACAAGTAGAATCAAACAGAGAACCTGAAGATATGAAATGCTCATTAAAACTATTCAAGATCTCCATTTTGTCATGAACAGCAACTGAATCCTTCATAACAGAGGTGGGTACTACTTGTGAATTTTTGCTTACCGAAAGGGATTTTATGGTTTTCCAAAATCTTCTGGGGTCATTTAAATTTTTAGTGGTGATAGACATGTAATATTCAGATTTGGCTGTCTTAATAAAAGAGGAGCATTTGTTTCTTAGCTGTCTAAATGCAAGCCAATTAGATGTAGAAACTGTTGTCCTTGCTTTGGCCCAGGCCAAGTTACACTCATGAATAATTTCTGCTAGCTCTGGGGAAAACCAGGGGTTATCACACCCCTTTACTCTATATCTCCTGAATGGGGCATGTGTATTTCTAATTTGTGTAAAACGCTCATTAAAGAATGTCTCCACACCAGGGATAACCTCTATTCTACTCCAATTAAAATGAAACAAATCATGATAAAACCCCTGTTCATTAAAATGTTTAAGATTCCTCTTACAAATGACACGTGATTTTAATTTAGGGACCGTAGTGTTCCTGATAGCAGCCACAACACAATGGTCACTTATGTCATTGCAAAAAACACCAATACATGATCATTTATAAGGAACATTAGTCAGAATCAAATCAATTAAAGTAGACTTCTCCAGGCATTTAAGATTTGGATG